TTTTTTTTTTTTTTTTACCATATGAAATGTATTTTTAATATAGAATAATTATGCAAATTGTGTAAATCCGACTGGTTTATTCATTTTGCAAACAATTATTATAATTATGGAAATATTGACAACAATAATCAATTATGCGATTTGTAAAAAAAAATAAATTGTTAATTTTCTTAATAAATGTTATTCATTTTTTGTGTATTTAATTATTCAACTTGTGGATAATTAATAAAATAATATAAAATTTACATTTTTAAGATATTCTAATTACACAGGTCGTATAGATTTTGTTGATTTATTCAATTATTATTTTTTATAAAATTGTTCCAAGATAATTGTGTTAATTACAATTTCTTTTTAATTATTTTTTACTAACTATTTTTTGGGTCTTTTTTATTTTTATCTATGAAAAATGTGGGTCTCGATTTTGTTTTCTACGTTGGGCAATTAATTTGTGGTAAAAGTAAATATCATTTTTTGTATTTTATTGATAAAGTATAAAATATAATTATTTAGTATACTATATATTGATCCAATATACCGGCTTATGGTAAGAAATGGTATCTCAATATTTATTTTTCCCATATTGCTAAGCATTTTACTCGATATTAATGAAAGAAAAATTTGGAGATGGTCGATACTTCTTTATAAATATATATACCAAATTATTTGGTATATATATTTATGTAAATCGACCAATCTAATTAAATTACACAATACTATTCACACAATTTAACAACCACAACGAAAAAAAATAAAAAAAATTGAGATACCCAATCATACCATAACAATCAGTCCATTTCATACAGTAATTGATCAACAAGTAATATACTAATAGGATTTAGTAACATCACAACTGATCAACAGTAGAATATTTCTAAATTGAATTTAATTCAATCAAAAAAATTATACCGCATTTAAATTAAATGAGAATTTGATTAACAATTAACTAAAAATATAATTGTCAAACAAAGTAAAATTTAATGTATTAAATAAAGTAAACATTTTACATTACAGAAATCTTGTACTAAAGAACTTGTACAATTTTTAAATTGATTTATTGCAATTCTTTATACTTTTCATATAAAAAATATTTATGAAATTTAACTAAATTATACTTTGTTTTTCCTTTATAAATTCAGTTATTTTTCGATCATTTGTTGTTATCCTTCATTTGATTTTCATTTTTAATATTCTAAGTATTGATTTCATCTGTTATTTAATTCAAGATGAAGTGCGAATTTGGTTTGATCAACAAAGTCACTAGAACTAAGAAACTACATATGAAGTTGTGAATAATTTAAAATAAATTTGCTGTTGAATACAAAAACTGCTTAGAATTTTTCTTTCATGATGAGGAGATAAGAATAAATAATTTATTTTGAATTCATTTTTCCATTGTTTTTTTAACTAGACATGTTTTATGTAAATTTGCACAATTTAAATTTTAAAGGTAAAATGCATTACATGTATATTTCATATTTTAACTTTATAAATATTATATAATGAACATATTTAATTTATAAATATTAATTAATATCTCTTACCCGTGCACTGAACGGGATTTATACTAGTAAATACTTATAAGGAATCCAAATATTTTAACTATTTAGTTACCTATCTACAATTTTAACAGAACGGTAAATCTTCGTAAACAATGACAACTTAGTTGAGTGGTAACTGATATATAATAAATAATTCAGAATATACATAGTTAACGTTAACTAAGAGAAGATACTCAAAATTTTACTAAAACGTGAAATATATATATTACCTGCCAAACTAGAAAAGTCGAACAATTCATTTCACTACTTTATTATTAAAAAAAATAAGTCAATTCTTGTATTTAGAATTAGAATATAAATTTCACCTTAGTCTTATTGAATTTTGATCCCACATCAATACAATTGCAATACGATAAAAGAATTTTTATATAAAAAAATAATAATTTTTCTCAATTCAACATAAGCAAATCATTGAAAATAATATATTTTTTTAAAAAAAAACATGATTATGAATACAAAAATTATGTTGTAGTATAGTTGACTTGACATACTATTGATGAATTTATTAGTTATGAATGTTCGATTATAATATTAATGATTAAATTGTAATTATATATAATATAATATAAAGACATACAAATAATTGATATATAATAAGACATATATGACCGAAAAAATTCTATACTTAATGTCATGCATGTTTTAACAAATCTAAAAGTTAAAAAACATATAAAAGAATAATATAAAGTAAAAAAAATATTGAATCTAATAAATAAATTAAAATAAATAAATTGTAGCACGTACTAATAAATATGAAAAAGTAATAAATAAAAATATTATAATTAAATAAAAGTAAATATAAACCTTTTAGAATTTGTACTTATCGATGTAAACGAGCTGTGTCGTTAAATGTTTATTAATTTTTTGTCTTTATTAATTCTATATGTAAATTTTAGGTGATAGCCAATAGTTATTTGTACATTTATCCATGTATGTTAAAATTAAAAAAAACAATTGATTGTTCTAATTTTAAATAAATTTTTATTTGCTATTAGTTTTTTTAATATAATATATGAATATCATATATATAAAATAATACTATTTTAGTTATTTAATATTTTGTTAATATCCGAGTCCGGACCCAACGTAGATACCGGACCGAGCCAAAGGAGCCGGTCACCAAAACCGCACGTGGGTGCCGAGCTGAATGAGAGTCAAAGTCGTCTGGAACGGCGGGAGGAACAAGTCCCGAGATCGGCACCGCACCCATGTGGCTATGAGGTCGGCACCTTGTTCGAAGTCTCACAAGGGCGGCTCCTGATAGAAGTACGACGTCGAATACAATAAAATAATGCCACTTGTCTACGAATAATTGCCGATGGGACGTCCAACTCAGCCAAAACGTGTCCGCATTTAATGCAGCCCACGTTCGCATTAAATGTATGGCAGGTAATGATTGGAGAATCCGGAAATCACTCCCAATCAGTCAGAGAAGCGCCGGCTTGTCCCATTGAACTACTGTACGACAAGATCGTTGAACAGTATCCGAACAGTGCCGCATTAAAGTCCCCTATAAATAGCAACCCCCTCATTTATTTTTGGGTTGTTGAATCCCAACTACTGAAGCTCATATTTTCTCTCTCCAAAAGACTTGTAAGAATCTCTTGTAAGCAATTTAAGTATATCACAAGTGCCGACCTCGTACGAGAGGCCGACCTCGTGACCCGTTAATAAAACCGTGATTAAACCGTATTTCTTCGTCTTTTTCTCATTTTTCTTTCCATTGCTTGACTTTTTAACCGTTGACCAGAAACGTCCGTCAACAGTTTGGCGCTAGAGGAAGGGCATCATAAGTTATTTGGTGTCAACTTTTCGATCTTGTGAGACTCCACGTCACGCTCATCTTTTTCCCACTTTTTCACTTTCAAAAGCAACTAAAAATGCCTTCATCCGGACATGACGACTCCACCCAGCAGTCCGGCTCCCAGCCCCGCCGGCGCAACGGCGGGGAGACCTCTCGTCGCGCTCAACAGGGACCAATAGTCCCCGTTCCCCCAGCTCCTACGTTCGCTGCAGCTTTGCAGCATCCCGACGTCCTCAAAGCCCTCGAAGGGGTCTTCGCCAAGGCCCTCGCCAGTCAAACCGCCGGGGCGAACACTGTGGTGCCCACGGAGAACCCCGGCAACACTCTGCTCCACACTCCTGAAAAGGAGACCGGTGGACAGAGGAACCCAGCGAAATCCAAAACCACGGCCCAATCGCCGAACCGCGAGGCTCAGAACCGCCGCGACAGGAGTACCAGACCGGCTCCCACAGAGCAGACAGGGGAGAGCCGGCCGGAGCGCAGCCTCCCGATCGTTCGCCGCTCCGTCCACCAGCGCTTGGGCGACAAGAGCCACGCCAACCAAGACCTCCGGGAGGTGATCAGGCGGGGCAAAGCCATCGGCCACGACAGTGAGGAAGTCGCGGCCCTCAAACGCAGAATTGCCGAGCTGGAAGGCCGGCAGCCCACCGGGAGTGAGTTTTCACTCCCA